GAGAAGTTTACTTTGTTTCAACGCTTCTTGAAGCTGGGCTGTTCACTGCCTTCTGGAGACCAATTATCAGAGTTCCTAAGTTACACAACTAAAGCGCGTGCAGAGTACAAGGAATGGCTGCCTTATCTGCTCTTGGCTGGTTTTGATCCAGTGAATTTAATGCACAGATTCTGGTAAGCAGATAATGTTATCTTGTTGCCAATGTTACTTAAGGCGTGCTTTCAGAGGATAGTACTTGATAATCAGTTGCCATGATCAGGAATGGTGAGGCTTAGGGAAAGTCTGAAATAAATCATTCACGGGTAATGGCTGGATTCAGTAAAACAAATTTCTCTTAGGAAGAAAGCCAGAATGGAGATTGTTTTATCACTACCCTGGAAAAATGCATCATTTTGCAATTTTTATATCTAACATCTCTTATTAGCCCCCAAATTTAGTTACAAATTGCATATTTACGTATCATATGGTACTAGTAAAAAGATTTTTCAAATACCAAGAAAGAGGTCAGGAGGGATGGGAAACAAATGTAAGGTGAAGCTGGGCCAAGGCTAGGAGGAGAGGAAACGGGTGCAGTTAAGAGAGTGTGTTAAACAAAATAATGTGGCCAAAATTCCAGTCTGTGTTGTGGTTTTGGTGGGGTTTTTTTAAGTTCTTCCACTTACAAATAACTGGTTGGTCATGTTTTATATTTAATTAGGCATACAGAATTAAATCTAAATTATATTACATTATAAGCAGAATTGTATTTAAAATTATGAGGTATTTGTATTTTCTTTGGGGTTCTTTCTTGTCTGTGAAGAGGACACTTACACTTTACTACCATATGTCTCAGCTGTTAAAATATAATGTGAGATGTATGAACTCATTACACGCATTCCTTAACTGTATGAAAGGAGTAGGATTTTAAGGTTTACTTAAATATTGTTTTGTATTTCAGATACTGTTAAGCTATCATGGTTAAGATATCTTCAGTAGTTTTAAATGCAGTCATTTATGACTTGGTGAGATTCTGTTATCGTTAGCATCCGTGGCTTTCTGAACAGTAATGAGAGGAGCATATATAAAGCATGGTGTATCTGTGCTTCTGTAGACCATATTTATTCATAGAAGACTAAATGAATGCAAAAGTAAACACACTACAAGATTGCAATTTAGTGAGTAAACAAATCTCACTGTCCATGTATATCATATATGATGCTTTTTGATCTTTTGTAATGTAATCCACAAATACTTTTATACCAATTACTTCCTTTGTTTAAATATCCACTTTTAAAAATAATGCTTACCATGTCATAATGTATAAAACTAATGTTTTTATAAGTTTAACTTCAATATTAACTATTCCATTCTGGAAGAAAACAGGAAGATAGTAGACAGCAAATGACACTTATGCATGTGGTTCATTAACTGTCTCTGGCTCCTTGTGCAAAACAACTGTGTAATCAATTGTAAGCTGGTCAGTCTAGAGCACCGGCAATTTTCATTACCAGTGGAAAAAGTAAAATCACCATTCTCTTAAAGAAAGGTAGGCAATCAGATCTCTCCTGTATGGTTTTTGGTGAATGTGTGAAAGTTAAGTCAGATATGAAAAATTAAATAATAAAAAATAGAAAGGACATCAAATAATTCTGACGTGAATCTCTTGTAAAAAACAAGTGTATTAAAAACTTTAGTCTGGTATTTTTGTGTATTTAGAGCATTTAGATTTCCATTCAGATGAAAATTCAGGATTGTATGCATCTAGCCAAGAAGCTGTTCTGTGAAATTGCGTGGCTCTTCATCATGTGTAAGACTAAAACATTTGGTTTACCTGCTGTTACTTAAACCTCCTTATACACTTTATTCAATTAAGCTATTGTTAGAAGTTCTTTACACATGCTAAAGGTTGGAAATATAAATCATACTGATTTCTGAATACATATAAATGTGATCTCTGGTAGAAGGAGAGTTTGAAACACTTGCAAATTTTGAGGGTCTTTCTTTTGTTTTGTTTTAATAAATAAGTAGCTGCATATGTGTGCATTTTTCCCCCCAAAGTGATGGTAATGCTTATAATGCTCTGGTGCCTTGAGCCCTTATTAAAATGTAGAAGGAAATGGAATAAGAAATTAGTGCAGATGAGAATGCTGCCTATTATTGAGGCATTTAAATTTCAGAGCAGATATTTTTCTCTTACAGTTTAACTTACTTTTAATAAGAAATGGAGGAAGATAAAATTACATTAGTAAAGGGTTGTCCTGTCAAAATTACTTTGGATTTCTCTTTAATGTTTTTCTGTTTCTGGGCTTAGGATGTAGGTTGTTAAGGATTTGTTAGAAAATAGTGAAGCTTTCTATGAGTTGTTTCCATTATTATATTTACGCTATTGTGTAAAATGGTATTTTATGGGAGTTTTCATTATGCAGGATTTTCTCTGTGGGCAACGATGCCTTTAATTTCACCCTGGAGTTCACAAACTGGAAGAGACTTCCTCCAGCTGTAGAGCAAGACCTTTCATACTGCAAAGAGAAGTTCACTTGGATGCCCAAGAGCCATTTTGGTAAGCAGTACAGTTAAGAAAAAAGTCTCCGTGTGTGCTAGCTTCCAGGTTGTAAGTGGGAAACAGCTCTGTGTGCTAATGCACGATGGCAAAGAAGGTTTAATAGTCAATAGACATTACTTGTCCAGAAACTGGGGAGCAGAAATAGTTGTTACCCTAAACAAACAAACATGCAAAAAATACTTGAAAGAATTTGACTCATTACATTGTTCAGTTTGGAGTTAGCATGCTTCAAGTAGGTATTCTCAGTTTAGACTATCTTGTCCACTTCAAATTAATGCATGTGCTATGAAATATGGGTAGTGACTGTAAATTAGTATTGCACCTTCCTGAAATGATTTGTTCAGCCCCTTGGAAGATTTAAGGTAAGATGATCAATATTAATTGGTTAAGTTTTCTAGACGATACCTCACTGTGGTGTTGTTGGGTTTTTTTTTAACTTTGATTTGTATTTCCAGTGAAGTATCTATCCTGTTCTGTAAGCATTTGACAGTAATTAAAAGTAATTAAAATACAAACTATATAAAACATCATATTAAATACCTAGTAACCTAGCTGTTCATTGTCGCTCCTGTAATCAAAATATGGTCTGCCAAAAAGATTCAATAATTGATTGTCCAGTGCTCACTGCATTCACCCTTTAGAAAAGCAGCTTTAACATATAGGTCATGCTCTGTGACCTGTGCATTAGGTGTTCTCATCTCTAGCTTAAGGCTTGCAAAATGTATGGTCCAGTGGAGTTACACACCTGCCATACTTACCCTTCTATACTTAAATAGAGAACTTACTGCAGTTAATATTACAGATTCCTTGTGAATAAAATCAATGGCGAAGCCACTCTAAGAGAGTTTGGAGGCACTAGAGTTCTGCATCAGGATAAGCTGATCTATAATGTCAAAGTTTGTTTGAGTGAATGCACATTTACAGACAGGTTTGTGTATCTTTTGGCACAGTGTTTGTCCTACGTTAAGTTATTTAGCAACATGTTAGAACATTTGCATCCTATGCCAACCGAGTCATGCTACCATTTAATACTTATAAGTATTTTCCCTTATGTTATTATGTTGCCTGCTTTACTTCTAGACTTAATTTTTCATTTCTTTTAAGGTGGCATGGGCCTCTCTCTCCCCAGGAAGGTAGCTGTTCTAGGCTGGTTAGATGAAACTTTCTGATTAAGGACAAAATGATTCTTTGGTACTTTGTTTCTAGAAGTTTAAGCTAACTTTTCTAGCTTCAATAGGGAAATTCCAAAAATGCTGATTCTAGCAGGCAACCACCCTTCACTATCAAGACCTCTGTCTCGTTATCTGCCAAAGACTGAGGGGGCTTCAGATGGGATCCAGCTAAACCAGGTAACTGTAGGCAAGTGATGTAATCCCATGGTGTCCTGTTCATTGTTTGACTGGTTTTTAATTTTTCAGCCTCCGTTCCTTCCCTGTCACACCTTTGTCGTCTTGAGATCCGGTCCATTTTAACGAGTGAACGCCTGCGATCGGACCGATTTATCCGAGAATTGCCATTGCCAGCTTGTCTCCAGGACTACCTACTCTACTTAGATGTACTGCGAGTCTACGATATCCCAGAAGCAGAGGATTATCTGGCACAGAGAGAGGAGGGACCTCCTTCCACCAGTCATTCCAGTGCTGAAGATAGAGAGAGGAGGGACATCTGTAGCACTGGTGCTAGGTGATGGCACTGCCAGTGACTGAACTCTGCAGCTGCAGATTTTGTAATGGCAATTAGCAGATACTGGAAAAGAACTACTGTAAATACTCTTTTCAAGCTGTAGTTTTATACTGTATCTAGAAGTTTGTTAGAAGTTCTATGATTTACTTGTTTAAAAAGTCTGTTGTAGCTTTCTAAGTCTGTGAACACTTCCTCGTTTTTGAAAGGAAATTCTTAACTCTTACGGAGTAAAATTAGCTTGTTCAATGAACATAGCTTATATAGGGGTCAAAATCTATTTGGTCAGACACTGTTAATAGATGCTTTGTTTCTAAGTACTGCATATACCAAATGAAATTACGTGAAAGTCAAGGAACACGATACTATAGCGTTGTTATGAATTTGTGTGTGATCTAGCTGAACCAGAGATAGGAAAATAATAAAAGAAACAAAATTGTTTGCTGAAGAAACAGTAATTTTCTTTTTTTTTTTTTTTTTTTTTCCCTTCCCTTGGTCATCTATTATTCGGCAGATCATTGGAGTGGGAGGCTGGCTCAGAGCCTGCACCCAATCCCTCCTGTTGTGTAGCCCACGCACCAGGTGTGAAAAGTCCCCACAAGCACACCGACCTGACACAGCTGTACAAAAATCTCTCTTTTAATGAAGTGAAAAAGCAATGGCCCTCTCATCAGGATAGATGACAGGGCTGGGCCAGGGACATCTCAGTGGAAGACAGCTGCATCCCTCCTGCTGGGAAAGCCCTCATCCTGCAGAGGTGAAGCCAGTGCTGCTGGGCTCACTGGTAGTAGATGCTGAAGGCATGGAGGATGTACAGGAAGGTTGTGATGAAGGCAAAGAACTGCACAAGAGGAAGAAGAGCAAAAGTTGGGGTCAGCTGGGAGAATCTAACCCCATCTGCTCTTGGTGCTCTTGACCTGTGGAAACCTCCCAGCCTAGACCTCTCTCCAGTCTCAAAGAGGAGGCAAAGCCTCTTGCATTGCCCAGGAGGCAGCCATGCAAGGCTGTCCATGAGCTACTGGACCCTGAGAAGCCCATGCTGGCTGCACAACGCAACAGAGATGAGGAGCTGAAGCTCTGGCCAGTGTGACGCTGCTGGGCTTGGGATGGCTCTGCTGTGGCTTTAATATTCACTCCTGTGTCTCCCCAAGGAGAACTGCGGGCGCTCTGGCCTGCTGGGTTTTCTGGACAGACTCACCGATGCGGCACTGTTGAGCTGGTAGTAAAGTGGTGAGTGGGACTCAGAGTTGATGGTTGCGTTGGCTTGCAAAACAGCAGCACTCATGTACAGAATGGCTGTGGTGCCGTGGTACAAGCTGTCCTGCAGAACAAGGGAGTGATGAGGATCAAAGCCTGCCCGGGACTGTCCTTCTCTGATTCACCCTGAGGACAAGGTCCATCCTCTGCACATGTGAGTGCTCAAATGGGGGACACTCACCTGGATAGGGGCTGGGACCAAACCCTCGTACCATGCTAAACCCTCCCCTGTTCCCATGCAGCACGCATGGCATAGCACCGCTTCTCTCGGCATTTCCAATCGAGGCAAAAGGAGGAAAGGGTTGTTTGTTTGCAGAAGGGCTGGCAGCTGGCCAGCTAACCTGTCACCAGTCACAGTGGTCTTGTGCCCATGTCAACATCTGCCAGTGTCCCAGCCCCTCCTTACCAGTACTTTCCAGTTCTCGCTGTTTTTGTGAAAGCCGAAGATGTAACTTAAGAGGAGCAGCAGGGAGATGAGGCAGGAGCTGAGGGACACATACATCACCCATCCCTGCAGCAGTGGTAAGGAGACGGAGGTAGCAGCAACGAGGATCCACACCCAGGTCCCACAGAGCTGCCAGGAACAAAGACAGGTGCCTCCTATGAGAGCAGGATGGGGAAAGCCCCTCTCCTCCTCAAGTCCCTTCTCGCCTCCCTCCCGGGCCAGTCCCAGTGGCCATGGGAAGCCCTGTGTCTTCAGGCAGTGTGGACCAGCCTCCCGGAGCACCCTGGCACAACAGCAGCACCGCAAGCTGGCACGAGTTTCCCTGAACGCTCTTAGGAAATACTTCAAAATATTTCTTACAAAAGGGGAAAGTTTGCTGCTGTGTTCAACGCAAGGAAACTTTTCACCCTGAGGGCTTCGGTGGTGAAGCCAGAAAATATGCTTTTACGGCTGCGTTGGCCCAGCCCTGCCTGCTCGTTAATCTCCTGGGCTTGAAATCACAGCACAAGGAAGTCTCCTCCTGACTCTGTGCACCAGCCCAGAATGAGTCGCTTGCTCTTGGTCCACATAAAATATTTTCTGTGCCCGAATTGCACGTGGGGTTATCTGGATAAGCTCACGCCACCCTGTGCCACTCCAGCTCTGGTGGATGAAAGTCCCCCAGGTTCACAGTGAGGAGCTGAGCCCGCTGGCACAGGAGGCAGACGGGAAAGCCCAGCTGCTGTGACTGCACCCGAGGAGCGCAGGTTGTGTGGGTCACTGGCGCTGTGTCATGTGTCAAAGTACACCAGTGTTTATCTGAGCCAGTCCCACCGAGTGCCCTCTGGACCCAGAAGCAATTGAAAGATTCATGGAATGTCACAGATTACAAGATACCCAATTGCCTTCAAGCCCTTGGAAAGACTTAATACAGTCAACAAAATTCCCTTCATTTTCAAGCAATTTCTATGTGAAAACTAGAGCTCCTGCCCCAGAGGCGCTGGCAGCTCTTCAGCCTCCCCCAGCCCTAGGGCAGCCGGTGACCGCTGCGTGGGCTCTGCAATAGTGCTGGAGTGTATCTTGTCCTCAAGCTGTTCCAAAAAATTACATCACGAGGACCATCTCTGTGTATTCAGTATAAGCTAAAAGAAAAGATGTTATTTCCCATTAACGCTGTCTTCAGGATCGATTTGGAGACTGCTCCCTGATTTTTAGATTCACGAGAACCATTAGCGGGGTGCTGTAAAGCAGCTAAGCTGGGCATACTCACTATCTCCGGTAGGATGAATGCATACGGGATGGTTTTGAAGACGGCGGGTCCAGAGGGCAAGGTGGGCTGCGTCGGGGCCGCAGGGATATGCGCCGAGGCCATCTCTTCTCAGCTGATGCTGTGACTGCTCCGGCTCGGCTCCGCTCACATTTGCCTGCACCGCTGCTGTGCGGGGTTTTAACTGACACACCCGCAGGGACGTAATCACAGAAACCAGCCCAGGCTGGCACCACGCCGCTTCCTCCAACTGAAGGAGCCCTCAGCAACCCTCTGGTTATTGCGGCTGGCTTCACACACCCTGCTGCCAACACTGCAATGGGAGAGCGACGGACCCTGGCCCCGCCACTGGCACACAATCAACTCAAGGTCTTTAATGAGAGTGAAAAGAAAAAAAGTCCTACGCCACACCGGGACAGAAACATTTCCTGCAATCAATTTTTGTCTTTGGCACTCTTTCAAGCCTGAAATATTTTCACTTCCACTGTTGTTGCCTCCTCCCCTTTCTGTTCATGTTTCTGCTCCGTGTTCTTGTCAGATTGCCCCGCACCCACTGGGCACATCCAGCTTTCAAAAACTTGTAGCCGAACATTTTTTACAGACAACACACTGGTAAAAGACAGGAGGGTTTGCCTGTGTGCTCCTAAGTGCCCAGAAAGGTCTGAGGACAGCTACCGAGACAGCTTTAATTTTTACCGCCTGGCATACATGCTTTGGATTTGACAAGCACATGCTGTTTTTTCCAGAGGACTCTACCTCACCAGTAACTGGTAGGATGAAAGGCCTTATGGCCTAGTGAAGTCATTCTGTCCTCTCTAACTCAGGCAATACTCTGCAGCAGGAGGAAGACAACATCCTAATAAGATACCTTATCTCTGTTAGGAGAGCCAAGTGATGCCCTAGGAATCTGGCTTCTATGCCAAGCTCTTGTGCAATACAGAGCAAAGATCAAATCTGTGACGTATCTCATTGTCTCAACCCCTCCTAGGCTGGGGGGAAGTGCTTTGTGGCATTTCTGGAGGCTCCAGTTTACAAATGCTGTCCCTGGGAGCTGGCTCCAGGCAGTGTGCTGTGGTCTTTGAAAGATCTTGTTTTAAAACATTTCACACCAGACAAAACTAGTGCCTGGCTTGGACTGAAATCCACCTGTGTGGTGCCCACCTACCTCACCAGATATGGTGGCAACGTAACCATCGCCATGCAGAAAGCATCCAGAGACTCCAGTGCAAAAGAGAAATCAGATTAATAACTTCCCAGTGGGAGCAGGCAGCACTTATGGCCTGTGGTTACAAACTGCTCAGGGAAAAGAAGTCTTTAACATCCTGGTCCACCTGAGGAATACTCCGCAGCTCATCAGCCTGCCTTAAAAAGTCAGCACCGGGGGAGCTACCGGATGGCGTGGCCTTGCACAGGGAAAACGCGGCATGCCCTGAATTCTCACCAGCTTTTATTTGTATTAGGTGGGTCAAGCGCATTCCTGTGAATAACCCAACCTTTTCCTGAGTGGGAAAGAAAAACAGTAAACCAGTCTAAAGACAGAGCAACCTGCTGTCCACTGATTGGACAAGAGATGATTCTTTTTTCCTAACCTGGCTGACCTTGCTCAGCAGCATTCTTAAAGATTATTGCTATTTTCGTTGCCTGTTACCGGTCTACTGGGGTACTGTGACAAAGAGTCTTTTGTTCACCCTGTTTAAAACAAAACTGGAAATTAATTGGAAACTGCATGAGATGAGAAAAGTGCTGCCTCGGCATTTGCTCAGCTTAGGCAAAATATGGCACTCGACATGGCTACAACAGGTACATGTAGCAATAGGCAACCACAGCTTTGTCTAACATTGCAAAGAGGAAAATTTAAAATGTAATTTCCATTAGTTAAACTGATAAAATATTTTAATCTCTCAAAATGTTAAATATGTTAATATTCATTACAATTCAGATAGTACCCATAGTTTCTTTTTTGTAAGAATTTATTTATATTGTTACCCCATTCTTGCATAGCCTGAATTGGTCTTCTGTAATCCATTCACACTCCAGGATTGTTTTCCCTCGCCTCTCCTAAGAAATCGTAAGCCAGCTCTGAGATATCAAAGGCTTTGTGAGTGTTTTCTGACGACAGCAGATACTGAAGCGCACCATCATTCTCTCGGCTCTTTTTCAAAAAGTCAGCAATCACCTTCCAGCGAGATGCTTCAGACTCTTCATCAGCCCACTTGTAGTCGGGGAGGAAAGTGGACTGAAGGAGAGGGAAGACAGAATCATGGTACACCAGGATAAACAGAGACTTCAGAAATTCTCGATCTCTCTGCAGAGAAAAGTATTTGAAAATACTTCAGTGCAAATACACGGTGTTGCCAAGCACTTCTACAGAAGTATTGTACACAGAAAAGAAGAAGAAAAAAAAAAAGAAACCAAAGAAGAAAACCTTCAACTAACCCCCAGTTCCCAGGATAACAATGCTCATGGGATGTTTATATTTCTTCCTAAAAACGCCAGTGTGACAACCATTCCCCCCAGCCTCTGCAGGTACAAACAGACTGTTATCCACGGCTCCTGGGGAAGTGTCACATCCTCCCCGCCTTGGAAGCCCAAACTCCACTCATTTCTCTACTGCCCTAGGCAGAGAGTTTCAACAATCCCACGCTCCTCACAGCATGTGGCTCTTAGCAGGAGGTACGGCCACACCGTAAGCAGTTAGTTCACACCTTGACAGGACATTCTGTGTGTGGTGAGAATTATACCCTGCCCCTGTAAAGACCAGCTTGCAAATCCAAGAGACTAAGAATGAGACTGGTATAATTATCAAACGCTGAGAAATCACGACCGCTTAACTAGAAAAGATTTGTGCGCCTCATTTTCCATACACACGCTAGGAAAACCCCTTCATGCAAGGACACATAGAGAGCACTGCCTCCTGGAAAACTCGATGACCACCGAGAATCTTCCAGAAATGTTCCCAAAACATAAGTGCTATGACTGGCATTGTACAGTTCACATCTCAGCAGGAGATTTAGCAGCTAAGCATCGTATAACCATGCAAGGAGGAGTAAGAATTCGCTAGGCAGCAGTCCTACCATGGGAGTGGCACATGACAAAAATCAGGTAAAACTGGATGGTTCTGGGATACTGAGGAGTTACTAATTCTTTGAGCAGATCAGCTTTCATTTTGGATGAATGGCCTTGAAAGAGCGATTCTGACTCAACAGCATTTTGTTTTCTTTGCGTAAACGGGGAGATCTCATGTATTTATTCAGCAGCGTGCACAATGAATGAAATATCCTGCTGCTGCTCCCAAGTGAAGTGTCTTGGATCCAGAGCCAATGCTTTTCTCATTCAGTTACCTCCAGCTTCTCTTTGTCCAGAGGATAGGAGGTAGGACAAGGTACCGGTAAGCCTGGTGACATGGCCAATTCAGTTCTTCTCCAGCTGTCTATATGCCAAAATGGGAGATTACAGCTGTCTGAGGTAGGAAGATTTGCAGAATTTGGGGGCCTTTTTCCAGGCAGACTGTGGGAGGACTGGAGCTCAGAGGTTGAAGGAGGAAAGATTGTTTTGTGGACATACACAGCCCCTTTTGTACCAGTGGGAAGTTTTTACCAGTCAAGTATTGGAAGCACATCATGAAAGGGAGCCACACTTTGGGTATGAGCCTGTAATAGCTTCCCCGCTAACAACCGTGTACAAACACTGACAACAAGTTACAAATTAATTTCATTTTCCTTCTTCTCCTAGTTTACTGTTATAAATGTGGGTAAGAAACGTTAAGAACTGCATTTAGCATATCTACATTTTCTAAATAAATGTATGGTGAGAGGGAAAACTAACTACCAATAACTGACAGAAAGCTTCTAGTTCGAATTAGATTGAATATATGTGAAAGAAAAACCTGTAATTTATTACCTTCTCAGATCTCTTCAACGTTCTTTCTCTATCTGCCCAAGCGCTCTAAAATGAAATGAAACGTAAAATCAGACTGAGATTGTGGAGATCTGAGTGATGAAAAGCTGGACATGAGCCAGCAATGTGCGCTCGCAGCCCAAAAGGCCAGCTGTATCCTGGGCTGCATCAAAAGAAGCATGGCCAGCAGGGCGAGGGAGGCGATTCTGCCCCTCTACTCTGGTGAGACCCCACCTGGAGTACTGTGGCCAGCTCTGGGGCCCTCAGCACAGGAAAGACATGGACCTGTTGGAGCGAGTCCAGAGGAGGGCCATAAAAATTATCAGAGTGCTGGAACACCTCTCCTGTGAGGACAGGCTGAGAGAGAGTTGGGGTTGTTCAGCCTGGAGAAGACTCCAGGGAGACCTTACCACAGTAAGGTGGCCTTTCAGTACTTAAAGGGGGCCTACAGGAAAGATGGGGACCCACTTTTTAGCAGGAGCTGTTGTGATAGGACAAGGGCTAATGGCTTTAAACTAAAAGAGGGAAGATTTAGACTAGATAGAAGGAAGAAATTTTTTACAATGAGGGTGGTGAAACAGTGGAACAGGTTGCCCAGAGAGGTGGTAGATGTCCCATCCCTGGAAACATGCAAGGCCAGGTTGGACGGGGCTCTGAGCAACCTGATCTAGTTGAAGATGTCCCTGCTCATTGCAGGGGGGGTGGACTAGAGGGCCTTTAAAAAGGTCCTTTCCAACCCAAACCATTCTATGACTCTATAATTGCATTTTTAGTCACAAAAATTTCTCTCACTGAAATCCCACAGTAAATTAAGCTCCTGTTGCAGTTCCGCTTTCCTCACGCTCCCCATTCCTCCCTTGTGCCAGTTTAGTTCATTTAAGCAAACAGCCATTCCACTAAGTTTTACAGATGTGGGGATTTGGAGACTTGCAGTTATCAGAGCCATATAAATGAAATCAAGGGGATCCACTTTTCAGGAAAAAAAAAAAAAAAAAATCACAACCGAGGTTGATTATTTTTTTTTCTACCCTGCAAGCATGGAGGAATACAGCCTAACCCCCAAGGTTGACACTTCTAACAGTAGTGTCCTTCAGGCAGAAATAACTCAGCTGTTGTTGTCTGGTACTAGGACACCTGCAAAGGACCGCAGTGTAAATACGGTGAGCACTGTCTTGCCAGTCAGAAGCTAAGTCAGCTCCTACCTGTCACGAAAGCAGCACCATCCTAGAAGCCAGACAAAGCTTCAAGCAGCTAATCCACCTGAGCACTCTCTTTCTGCAGCTACATGGCTAGCAGTTCTCACACTAGCCCATTTATGTCTTTGCATCCCATCTGCGTGTACTCAAGCGTTCTCGTGCAATTTTGAAGGCACTTAGACACAGAGATCTGCACGCACTTGAAACAGTTGTAATTTTTCTGTTGTTTGACTTTTCCATTTATCTTTTCACAGGATAAAAAAAAGTTCAAATTTTGCAAACTATCTGGAAATCTTGACACATGAGATGGACTGAATGTGGTGTAGATAACATACGCGAAGTGCATCCATCAGGTCTGGCTGATCCATCAGTTGAGGGAAAGTTGCTAAAATAGGATTACAGATTAAATCTGAAACAGAAAACAAACGCATTCAAGGCTCAGGAAGAAAGAGGATGATTTTCAAGGTATCAACACATCAAGGTATTCAACACATCCCCTCCCCTCAGAATATTTCAAAGGGAAAATTAGCCGTAATAATACTCCAGAGCAGCAGGGAAGGTCAAAGAGCTAACTGCTGGATTCTCTGACAGTAGCAAACTCCCAGTGGCTAAGAAACAGTTAACCTGAGAGGAGAGACAGACAAAAAACGATTGCTGGTTTATTACAAGTCAGCAAGCAAGAGATCTTACTGATTTAACCTAAGGGTTGATTGAGGTGTTTTTCCTCGTTTCTGCACCTGTCTTTTTGATAAACATCTGAAATTGTGCTACCTGATTTGGATGTTATGAATAAACACACTTTCACTCTACCTTAATCTGGCTTGTGTTGTTGTGCGTGATTTTAAGATAGCGGGGCAAGTGGCAGGAATCAAAGCTCTTTGTTACAAAGCAGAGAAAATCTTGAGCCCAGGGGTCCAGAAGCGCAGGGGTCCTGTCATTATTTTAGTTAATAAGATTGTGGATAAGATTACAGGAGTGCTAACAAGTGACATACAGAGGAATTTTGGTTGAAGCGTTTTCTTTCTCTTGTGATTTTAAATATTTAAATGTACACTGTTGTTTCTTCATGTTGAAGTTGATGGAAAGTTTAGTAAATGCTAACTATTTACTAATAACAAATATTTAAGGGAAACAAGCCAGAACTGATTATTTTTGTGAAATATAATAGGCATTTTAAAGTTGCCTATTTCTAAAGTGATAGTTGATTTTGAAATAAGAAAAATCTTCTTTTGTTACACTAGAAAAGTAGAAAATGGCTACCAGAACAACTTCTGAAATGCTGGAGTAAAGCCTTTAAATCATTCCAAATGAAGTCTGAATCCAAATGGATGCAGTTTAACTCCAGAAGTCATCAGCCTGATCTATTGTCCTACGTTGTAAAGATCAAATCAAGTAAGTATGGCAGTTCTCGACTGTCCTTTAAAAACTAAGCATTTTCAGTTTCTCTGTGATGTTTATTAAAGAAAGCATTAATTTATGAAGGGTCTGACTTTCAGATACTGAAATCAGTATACTCAGAATATATATTTAAGTTCAAGAAAATCAGGAAAGGAATTAAATTCTGAGTACCTTTGAAAGTGGAACCTGTAATTCAGATGCCTAAGTATGGCGAAAGATTGTTAAGTTAAAAATGTTAGTAAGTGCAAAAGCAAATTTATTTGCCATAGGAACAGATGATAGATAATTCAGTCTGGAGAAGAGACGGGAGAAAATACAAGGAAATCACTTCGCAGTACCAATATAAATTCAACTGTAGTACAGTTAAGAAATGTCATTTTTCCATATTTCAGATAGATTTTAAATGGAGAAGACTATAAACTATTACAGTTCTGTTGAAGAAAGGTGTGGAAAGAATAAGATACAGAATTGCAAAATCAGAGCAAGATACTGAGTTCTAAAACCAGAACTCTTCCACTTCTGTCTCTCCCTGCTGCATTAGCCAATAAGTAAATAATAATAAAAAAAAATACAGAGGATGACTTAGCCTCTTAGACAAAAACATCTGCCTAATCTCTTCTATAATTCAGAGAACATGCATACACTAGAAATGAATGAGTAAACCTGTGTGCGTGTCTAATCTCTCATTACATGGGAGGTGAAAACAAAACATTTATCTTCCAAATAATCTTTTAGGTTTATTCGCTTTTTATTTATTTTTATTTATTTAGAAATAAGCCTTTACCTATCCACATAGGCTTTTTTTAATGAGAATTTCACTGAAAGCACTTCATTCATACTTCACAGAAAACAAAACTATTCTTGTGGGTTTTGCATTCTGCGATGTGAACTGATGTCAAACAGGGCAACACATTAGATGCGAGTTGAAATATTACTAGTTTGAAATGCAAACACACCGAGTGGTGGTATTCACAACAAGAGGCTGTTCTCTTTTATAAGCAGGGAAAACAGCTTTCTATTTGTCCCCACAACACCTACAGATTGAAAATTAATGCACTGATGCACTGAAATCCTCTACACAGGGAGCATGACCTCCTAACCTCGCAAGATGGTCAGTCAGTGCCAGCAATACCAGGGAACAAAATTCTACGAGTACCCTGTATCAGTGAGTTACCCCTGCTTTCTCGTGCAAACAAGAGACTCTGCAGAGGGCAATTTTCTTTAGGAACCTGATCTTTCTGCAACACACTCTCCATTATGGAGTTCTCCACAACAGCAATTCTTACCTGTGCTTTGCATGCTTATTCTGTCTTTGAGGAGTGCATCACCAAGTATTTGTCGATAAAATATCAAGAGATGGATGTAGCACATACTGCCAATTAACGTTTCTGGTAGCAAACTATTGGGAAAATAAACAACATGCAGCTAAGATTTTTATTCAAAACTGCTCCTACAAAGCATTGTTCACTAAAACTTGAGGGTAATGACAGCTTCATGTCATGTCAATTATTAGCTCATTTTGGCATCTCCATGAACCTGTCATAACTTCTGAAGGTGCACATTGATACAGCCACAACAGCCAGACTCTGGCTGTCGCAGCTTGCAATCTTATCTAAACTTAAAGACTTTTTGTTTGTTTTCAACAAAATCAGAGATCGAGTACAATATGCAGGTGATGCAACCCACATATTTTTGCATAGCCAGTGTTCCAGTGAAGGGGAGCACTTTAGATCTCTGGGACCATTCTGGACTATCTGAAATACTCTTTCATTTTATGGCAGCACCCACAAATACTTACTTCAGGATGTCTTTTGACTGCGCGCTTAAAGACCTCAGTTTCACTACAAGCACAGGCTGTTTCTTGAGTGTTATAAACTGATGAAAAACACCACTACCTGCTTTAGAAATAAATACCCGATATGAAATCTATCATTTTGAAAAAACATTAAGAATCATATTACAAGAATGGACATTTAAATTTGGCAAGAGATGGTTTGCTAAAACTGTAATGGTCTAAAAACCAGGAGGAATTGAACACCTGAAAATAGATCAACCTATCAGCTATATCAACATTTGGTCTAACATAAGCTATTACCTCTCTCTAGGATGGTGGATTCATAATATGTGTGGAGTAATGTGGAGGTAAGTGTCCAAACCCAAAAGGTAAAGGCCTTCTATAGCTTGCAGCATGTGGCAAATGGATGTTATTACAGCCTCCAGAGGAAAGCCATGGCCACCCTTATTTAAAACACAGGTGGTCTGTTGTCTGAACCAACTCTTAGTGAAGCTTTATTTAGCCCCGCAGGGAAGAACCAGTATAGATGTTCTGTAGCTTATTTATGCACATAAGTTATATGGGATTGATGACATGGGGCTTGAACAGCTTGGCTTGGGAGTTATTTAGACCAGTGTCACTGCTGAGCCTTGTACCATCACCCCATAGCCAAGAAGCGTTAAGTGCAGTTAAAGAAATAATTTAATGCATTTATCAGAAATAATCCTCAACCTGCAGACACAGGAAATTACAGAAACATTAGCACTTGCAGATAGTTCTGAATCTCACCAGCCCTAACAATCAACTCCCTCTTAGGCAAAATGACAGCACACGAAACAAAACCAGGCTGTGATGACTGCATGCTACTGAGAGCCCCGGCTGAGCACTGCATGTTGTAAATTAGGTACAGCATTTTTTGTATCATTTAATTTATATAATGTTTAGGAGAAACCATACCTCTTCTTGATATTGATGGGTCAACCTCAACTCCTCTCTCGTAGGGAGTACCACCATTTAATAGCAGCTCATACATCCTGTGAAAGAAGAGGAGCATAGTTAAAATAACAAGATCTAAGGACATGTGAGAACAGCACAACCGCTTTCTGAGAGAGAAAGAAACCTGCTATCTCAAATAAAAAACAGACATGGTGCTTGATGTTATGACTAGTATTTTATATGAAATGACTACACCTAATTAAGTAACCAAGCTTCAAATGATAATATTGAAACTTGTATTATGTTGGGAAACTAGTTCATTATTTTAAAATAAATTAGCAACATGGATTGTTTTCCACATGACTCCAATATTTTTCTTACACGAAGCTTAGCAATTGTTTCACTAAAATGTTTTTGAGGAGTCACCGCTTAGGTAGCAAATTTTAGATATGGAAGATTTAAAAGGTTGAAGAATAATATAATCCCAGTTCTGTCAAGAGTCAGTCACCGTTGAAGCAAGCATGCAATTTCACTCTGTAGATACTATGTTTAACTTAATGAATAGCAAACCTATGTTAGCGATCAGATTTAGAAGAGATTTATACAACAGTAGAGGTCTCCTGTGGGTATTTTTTTTGCCCTGTAATCCAAATATATTCAGAATACACGCACACACACATATATATGTGTAGTATTGTAAGTCTACAACAAATCATTTCCGTAAATTAACAGAAAGCTTTCATACATTTAAAATAGAAATACATACATTTGATTGTTATTTAAGATTGTTGGACCCATGCACTAATCATAAATCAGCTGCAAAAATATAAGCCTATTACACTCTCCAAGTGAATGGTAAGAGATTCCTTTACAACAACTCTTACCCGCTTCCAAGTTGTAAACACCGATCTCCTAATTTTTATATGAGAAAGGGATATACAGCAAAGCACACACAAAGAAGAGCCAGAATTAAAAAGGACATTGTCACTCCCTATTAACTCAGACACTTCCATAGTTTTAAAATTCCACTGAAGAATATTTTTAAACACATACTAACTTTCAACATTTCAAACCTGAACGTTTGGTCCAGGGAACACTTCCCACACAAACTTAGTAGAACACACACTGGGTGTGGAAGCAGGACGAGCATTCTCACTGAAAGACCCAGTACAACTTGCACATTAGTCTGGATTACACCTGCCCCTATCAGTGTCTAAGTATGAAATATGAACTTTACTCTTAGCCTACAGTATGTACATACATACATACATATATAAGGGGGGGGGGAGAGAAGGAAAACGTAATAAACTTACTTGGAAGGAACAGGCATTCCATCAGAAGTAAAAAGCTTCAGAAATGCCCAGCCACAGCTTAGCTCTCCTCTTTCACCAGTTGACTAGAAAAAAAAAAAAAAAAAGAGAAACATAAATAACTTGAGCAGCAAAACCAGAATGAGTAACTGAAGCACAATTATTTAGATTAATCACATTAAAATGGTAAAAAACCCAGATATGTGGTAAGCAAACATTGACTATGTCGCATTCTCAGGTGTCTGAAGACGTTTACCAAACAGCGCATACAGTTTTGCTGAAGTTGATCATCCGTGAGCATATTTAAGACACGAAGATTTATAAAGCCAAGAAATACACGTTTAATGGAAATCTAAGTATATCAAGCTCCTGAAAAAGAACAAATGCACAGATACAAAGGTAAAACCCCCCAAACCTGCACAGATGCTCTAAAGAGTGCGGGACAGAAAGGAGAGGAAAAAAAAAATATCCCCAAAGTATTTACCCATCTGATTCCAGAGACAACCGTTTCCAAGCCAGTGACCCTGTGCATCAGAAGGCTTTATTCATAGTACCAGAGACAGCACCTGGGAAAGGAAGCTGATCCTGCATGCCAGATCATCCGTTTCCAGACCCCAAAAGCACTCATAGCAGGTAAGAACTTATAAACACTCCAGCTTTCACTTAAACTTACACTGTAAGCAGAAGCAGATAACTTTGCATAATCCTGACTACTCCAATTAGCATGAGGAGGGCCGTTATACCCCATTGGGTCTCCGTGAACAATCACTTACCAACATGCTGTTCATCACTGGGACTTAAACAGTCCAGTTCCCTACAGATGTACACTCTGCTTGTCTCCCTGCACAACAGTTCTGCATCCCCCCACGAGGAAAATACAGCAATACTCCCTTTGCAACTTCTCTAGACATCTTTTCAGAATTCTGTTGCCCACCATGAATACCCTGCTTGCTAACCACTGTGGTTACCCCACTTTCCATCTTTCACCCATGATTTACATGATTGCCAAGATTCACCTGAGGAAGATTGCAACTGTAATGAAAATGCAAGTGTTCGGAAAGAGGCAGCAAGACTCGAGTCAGTATTGTAGACAAAGTGGCTGAGATCTTTCAGAACAGTGACCTGTTCTGGAAAGCCACTGTATCCTCCAAATATTAGTGTTTCTTATGGTCCTGCATGCATCTGCCTTCTATTACGGTAGTTCCTATGGGCTGTACCCTCTGTTGCCTCACTACCCACTGTACTTTTCAGAAGCATATCTGAGACATATCTGTATCAATCGCAAAATCGCTACAAACCAGTGTCCATACTATTTAAACAGTTAAAATTTTCATATATAGCACAGCAGTCTGAAATGAATCACAAAGACAGAAAAAACGATGCGGGAGTGAAGAGAGAATTGGTCCTCTGCAATCACGTAAGACCTTTGGCAGACTAACAGAAACTATTTCAGTTTAAGTTCAGTACATTCATGTCCACTAGTCAGAAAGTATTTTACTCTCTAAACATAGACTAGAACTAGTAGTTCCAAAACCCAACATGTCTCCCCTCCCTCCAAGAAGCCAAAAGGAAGACAATCTTATAAGCTATAAGCTAGAAAAAGTTCAGCTGAATTTCCATTTGGATGTCACAGTTTGCTGCTGGGATACCGGAGCTTAACATCGAATATGGTTCACTTTATAAACCTGTGCTTGGAATGATTTATATTGCAACTTTACACACTTACATTGCGAATATAAGTGATGCCAAGTTCAAATAATATACCAATGTCTGAATACAGAGAGTTGGACCTGACAAAACAGTCACCATCCAGCAAGCTGGGTAAAATGCCCGTTACCTAATACAAAGAGTGGGGGAAAAAAAAGAAAGTGAATGTACCTTTTTAAAAAAAACTTTAATTTTTAAAGGCCATCAAACCCATCACTCATTCACATAAGAACTCAGACCCAATCCCATTGCATATAAAAGAAAATGATGAGTGGAGAACCAATTTCAGTTGAAACCTTGCTCCCCTTATTCTTTATCTTGCCATGAAACACCACTATGCTACCAAGGTACTTTATTTGTGTGTGATGACAAGCTATTAAAGAACTTTAGATATCAAAAAGCACTTAATTCCCTCCAAGAACACAGCAACAATGGGGTAAAACATGACAACTGCTGTGAGTGTGGCACCTGAAACATGGAAGCACGTGCTCTTTTTTTAATGAAATCAAAGCAAAAGTGCCTGGTCTCTTCACTTCTCCATGAACACCATGAAGTTTGCGCCTGATATCAACTCAAAGTTAACCAGTGCCACCGGCTAGATCACCAGTCCCTTCCGCTACTTTTTCTCCCCCCCATCTCTCTTCTCCAAAGCGTTTTTGCTAAAACACTTGGTTTAGTTTGAATTCATGCACTTCAGCAAGTCCTTTTCTTTTTTGCATGTTCATTTTGATTGCAGTATGTTTTATTTCAACATGAATACCAGACGCAATAGATATCACTAAATAAGAAGCTGGAAACAGATAATTACTGGTGACGTCACTCCCTGAGCAAGAACCTACCCTTGGAGAAAAGGTCCATGTTTGAGGATTTTTAGGTTGCCACGTAGCTCTCACTGTGTGAATGTTACTCAGCACCTAAAAGATTATAAGTGGTGAAAAAAGCTAAGACAACTTTTTCTGGAAAGCTATGCAGCTTTAAGAAAATGCAGTATTATCCCAGATTAATCCAACACTCTGTACACAACAAAGATAAAATTAACACTTTCTCTTCAACTTTATCAGATGTTTTCAGTTTAAAGGACTACAGAGGGAGTTTTCTCTGAAGCCACAGAGAACTTTCCAATCATCCTTGCTTCATATACACCAGTAATAGTCCCTTTTCCCCTAAGAGTGATCAGTGCAGC